ACAAAGAAAATATTGAAGTTGTTAAGGATTTCATTTTACTTGGATCCACAATCAATGCATTGGGCAAATCTGCTGCAAAAGACCTCTTTAAAGTGTTAAAAAGCAAAGATGTCACTCTGAGGACGAAGATGTGCTTGACCCAAGCTGTGGTATTTTCAGTCACCTGTTATGCATGCCAAAGCTGCACAACGAATAAGGAAGACGGAAGAAGAATTGATGCCTTTGAATTAAGGTGCTGGTGAAGAATATTGACTATACCATGGACTGCCAAAAGAACAAACAAATCTGTCTTGGAAGAAGTACAGCCAGAATGCTCCTTAGAAGCGAGGATGCGAGACTTCATCTCACATACTTTGGACATGTTATCAAGAGGGACCGATCCCTGGAGAAGGGCATCATGCTTGGTAAAGTAGAGGGTCAGCAAAAAAGAGGAAGACCCTCAATGAGATGGACTGACACAGTGGCTATGCCAATGGGCTCAAGCATAACAACGATTGTGAGGATAGCGCAGGACTGGGCAGTGTTTCCTTCTGTTGTACATAGGGTTGCTGTGAGTCGGAAACGACTCAACAGCACCTAACAACAACAACAACAACATATTCTTCTGCCTCTACCCAGGCATGCTTCTCTTCCCCTCAAATACTTTTCAATCACACTTTTTTGTTAAACCAATATTCAGTCATAATATTATTTCTATTTGAATATTATTCATAGCTGAGCCATATACTCTGATAGTATTTATTTCCTTCTACAAATTTTTGTTACTCCTGAAATTAATAATTGCCTTGGTTTTCATTTTGTTTTGTTTCTATGTGCCTATCTAATTAATTCCCAAACTCTGTTGGAAGAATAAATCTCCTCTCCATACATTCAACTGCACCAGGTAACTTCTCACTTCCCTTAGTTTTTCCCTTGGGGTCTTCCTCTCCTGGAGCCTTCTGTCAGCTGCTCTAATTTGGACAGGTTTCTATCAAGCTGGCTGCATAGTCGATGTTGTAGGAGCTGGCAATTTTCCAGCATTCTGGCAACTCCCTTAGTTGCTATTTTGTGTTGGATTCCCTACTTCCTGGGCTCCATGCCTTCACTATACTTGGCTTATTCCTTTGTGTTTTGTTTGTTTTGTTTTTTAGAATATCTTCCAGAAGCTTACTGAAAAATGGATATATGGCAGGGGCAGGGCAGGTGGTAGTAAAAGTTTGGCTCATTGCATGGCTTGAATTTCTTGCCTGCAGAGCCGCAGCTATCACCGCTATCTCACATAATATCGCACTAGACCAAGGGAACAAATTTATAGCAAAGGAGTTACAGCAGTGGAAATGTGGACATGGGATTTTGTCAGCAGCCGTAGCTCTTAACCACTGTACCACGAGGGCTCCATCAAACACTGCGTCACTCAGAAGCTGCCAGTCTGATAGAACAATGATATAGCGTCTTCAGGATGCAGCTGCGGTGTCAGCTTGGAGATGTTGTCTTGTGAAGATAAGTCATCATCCACCAGGATGCAGTATATGCACTAAATAGTGACCATTACATAACGTTTTGGCTCTAACAGGTAGAATATAAGGGTCTGGGAACCGAGGGTTAGAAGTAGGAGTGGCCCTGTTTACAATCACTCACATTAAATCAGTTGCTGTGTTGTGCTTCTCATCGCCCCAACTCTAGGCTCTGCAGGTCTGGAGATTCTAAATGAGAGATACTTCCATTAAGGGACACAGCAAGAATCCCGTTATTAGCGATGGCTAGTCACTTCAGAAGTCTTTTGCCAAGAGAGGAGCCCTGGGGGCACAGTGGTTAAGAGCTCGGCTGCTCACCAAAAGGTTGGCGGTTCAAATCCACCAGCCACTCCTTGGAAACACTATAGGGCAGTTCTACTCTGTCCTATAGGGTCGCTATGAGTCGAAATCGACTAGACAGCAACGTGTTTTGCCAAGAGAACAGCAGGCAAGAAAAAAAGTCACTATCCTGTTCATTAAAGGGAAATAGAGCTGCTGGTACACAACAGGGGTGGGAAGAACATGTTTGACATCCAAGTGATTCATTGGGGCCTCTCTTGGTTGTTCTTTGTCCAGTTTTTACAGTAGATGGACAAGTGCAGAAGCCACAGACTGAGACCAAGGGCTCAGAGTTCTCAAGGATGAGGGTCTGGGTAACCCCATAAATTAAGTCACCCAAACTAGCAGAGGGGCTAGCTGAGTGTAAGGAGAATCAAGAATGGGTAGCAGAAAAGGAAAGACTCAGTATCAGTTGCATTCTCAAGACCAGATGCAGTGATGGGAGCTTGGTTCTCCAGGGAAAGAGACCAATCGGAATCCTGGAGGACCTTTTCCCATATGCAATAAACTTTTTATACAAAGCAAATGAATCCAAGTGTCATAGGGTGTGGACTGTAGTGGATACTGTGTTCTAACTCAGATTTCCTTCTTCAGGACTAAGGCATTCTCAGCTTCTGAGAGTATTGCCTGCTGAAGCCTTATAGCTGAGGAATTGCCTAAGGAATTGCCTTGAGCCAAAGGTCAACCTTGCCTCACCCAAGGTTATCCCAGAGGATAATGTCAATTCTTATTTCACGACAAGAGCTATCTTATCTGAGGTATAAATAATAGTTTCACTTCTTACAGTTTCTGGTTTGTTTTCTTATTCTTAAATCATTTCTGCTTCTTCTGAGTTCTTTATTTTTTAACCTCTTTATGTTCTTCTCTGCCTTTCACCTTAGAGGCTTTCCTCAAATATCTAGTAATCCCTTGACTATCTGTCCAAATACAAGTGTGAGACACTAAAGGCTGAAGCTCTGGATGGGGTTTTAGCTTCTGACGGGTTTTATTCTGGGGTCATCTGAGTGAGCCTTCCACTGGAGGACTAATTCCTCCATTTCAATGTGTACATATATATATATATATATATACATATATATATATTTGTTGTTATTGTTCTTAGGTACTGTTGAGTCGGTTCCAACTCATTGCGACCCTATAGGACAGAGTGAACTGCCCATAGGATTTCCAAGGAGCAGCTGGTGGATTTGAACTGCTGACCTTTTGGTTAGCAGCCGAGCTGTTAACAACTACACCACCGGGGCTCCGTATATATATTTTTTTCTTCTTTTTTCCCTTAAGCTGTTCCGTTTTCCTGGAGAGGAACCCTCATTTCCTGTATATCTGCGGACTGAGTGCATAGGAAATAAGGCCAGCTCCTAAGTTTGGTAGTGGGCTAAGGGAACTGGGAGTCTCGTTATTCAGTGTGTAGAATTTCAGTATCCCTTTGATTGGTGCGTGGCATCTCTTTCCTCAGCTATGCCTGTCTTCCTGAGTCCAGAGTCTCTCTGGTTCAGTGTCTTCAGTGAATAAACTTCCATTCTTCTTCCTGGAGTGAGTGAAGGGCAATTACCAGGCTGCATGGAAGTGAAGGAAAGAAACTTGTTATAAAGATTTCAGCCAATCCTGCTATTTCATCCTTTCCAGTAACCACCTTCTCACCTATTTGTTGCCTACGATTTTTGAGCCTTTCTGGAGTCGTGGCACATAAATTGGCTTGTGCCTTCATTTCCCCATGGCTAACTTTTATTCCAGGTCTCTCTAACTCTTCTAAGTCAGTTACCTATTACTAGTCAATCATTTTCTGTCATGGATTGAATTGTGTCCCCCAAAAATATCTGTCAACTTGGCTGGGTCATGTTTCCCAGTATTATATGATGTGATTTCCTTATGTGTTGTAAACTGTCACTATGATGAGGTTATATGTGATCTCCTTATGTGTTGTAAATTCTATCACTGTAATGAGGTTATACTGATGAGGTTTACAAGATTAGATAGTGTCTTAATCCAATCTCTTTTGAGGTATAAAAGAGAGAAGCGAGCAGAGACACATGGGAACCTCACACCATGAAGAAAGCAGTGCCAGGAGCAGAGTGTGTCCTTTGGACTTGAGGTTCCTGTGCTGAGATGCTCCTAGACCAAGGAAAGACTGATGCATCACAAGGACCTGCCTCCAGAGCCGACAGAGAGAGAGAGCCTTCCCCTGGAGCTGATGCCTTGAATTTGGACTTGTAGCCTACTGGACTGTGAGAGATTAAACTTCTCTTTGTTAAAGCCATCCACTTGTGGGATTTCTGTTGGAGCAGCACTAGATGACTAAGACAGTTTCCTAGCTTCCACCCATTCTCGTTGTCTTGGTGTATTAATGCCATTTTTCCCTTTTACTGTCATTCTGTGAGGCTTCAAGAGACAGCAGAGGTAAATGCAAGTGTGTAATCCTCTATGTGTAATTGGAAGACCTTCACCTATTTTATAGATGGAGAAACCGAGTGAGACTCAGGGAAGGATAATGACTTGCCCCAGGTCATACAGCAGAATCTGGCTAGAAAGAAAGTCTCCAGGTCCCTAGGCCAATGTTCTTTGTAAACTAACCAGAAAGTTGACAAAGTGGGGGGAATACAAAAATTTCTATGGTGGCTTAGAGGGTACAGGGAATGCATGAAAGGACCGTGCTGGTAAGGGTGGCATGAGAGGAAATGAAGAGAGATGACCAGAAAAAAAGGAGATAATATAATTATCTGAAGTGTAATTTCACTGTGTTCCAATTCCTTCAAGATATTTATTATCTACAGGAGTCTGTCTCTGTGTCTATCACTACTCTATTCCAATCCTGACTCCCACTCATTCTGTTCTCTACCCCATTCTGCTCCCAGAGATACAGTATTTTTTAAACGTGGTTCTGCTCAAATGGCCTACATCCTCAATCGCTTTCAACAGCTCCCCATTACCTATGGGATAAAGTCCAAATCTCCTATTTAATGGAATAGTCCGAGTTTCTAAGCTCAGCTGGGAGAAGATGTGACAAAAAAAGTAGAGGGAAGAGATGGGACCAATTTGACAAAAATAAATACAAAAAACCCATTGCCATTGAGTTGATACTGACTCATTGGGACCCTATTAAGACAGAGTAGAACTGCCCCATAGGGTTTCCAAGGAGTGGCTGGTGGATTCAAACTGCCAACTTTTTGGCTAGCAGCCAACAAAAGAAAGGACAATAAGTGTTGGTGACAGGGAGGAGAAGTTAAAGATGACTGCAAGGTAATAAGCTTGGGCGACTGCGGGAAATCAGAACAGGAGAGTCAGAGATGCTGGTGAGCTTGGTTTTAACCTGGTAATGATACAGAGATGCCAGCATGAAAGCCGAGGAGCAATACCCAGCAGACAGGTGGAAATAGGGGATGAAAGACATAGCCATGAGTCACAGGATCTCAGGATCGGTAAGTTCTTCAATGGGTCCCAGTCCAATGCTGGAAGAAGTGAGAGACTATGACAGCTCCAGGGATCACCAGATCAAAGGGCATCTCTTTAGGATGGGGTCATTTGAGTGGGTTTAAGTAGATGAGAAAGAAGAACAAGAAGTGTTGGGATATATTAATATTTCTAATATATAAAATGTTCTTCTTCCTGTGAAAACTGAAAAACATAGTTGCGTGATCACTGCTGCGATATTGGTAACTGTCTTAATTTCCTACAGCTGCTGTAACAAATTACCACAAACAGTTCCTCAAAACAACACAAATTTATTATCTTAGATTTCTGGAGGTCAAAAGTTCAAAATCAATCTCACCGGGCTAAAGTCAGGTGTCAGCAGAGCTGAAGTCTTCGGGAGGCTCAAGGGCGGAATCTGTTTCCTTGCCTTTTCCACCTTCTAGAGGCTGTCTGCATTCCTTGGCTCGTGGCCTCTGCCTCCATATTCAAAGCACATCATTCCAACTTCTGGTTCCATCATCAAATCTCTTTTTCTGACTTGGACCCTCTCACCTCCCTCTTGTGAAGACCCTTATGTTTATATTGGGCCCACCAGGATAATCTCCCAATCTCAAGATCCTGAAATTAACCATCACATCTGCAAAGTCCATTTTGCCATGTAAAGTAACATATTCACAGGTTCTGGTTATTAGGACATGGATATCTTTGGGGACTATTATTCAGCTTATCACAATAACTTTCAGGTAATACTGATAACCCTCAGTTCTTGTTAAGATATGGCCTAATGAATGAGTGAGTGAATAAATGAATGAATGAAGACCTTGTAGTGATTCAACGAATACTGAGGGTCCAGGCTATCTTCAGAAAAGATCCAGGAAATCAGTGCTTATTCTAAAAATGTGACCCTGCTTGGGCTCAAAGCAAATTCTCTGTCATATTAAAATACCAGCCAGTTAATTGATTTCTCCTCATCACTGAATTAGAACAAGAGAAGAGAAGAAGAAAGGCCCATTTTCATCCTTCTCCGTTCAGGTATCCGGTTGCAATAAAGGCAAACAGAGCAACAACACACATACAGCCCCACAGGAGCCGCTGATTGTGTCCAGAGCCGCCGTTCGGTGGTAAGAGAGAGGATCTGAAAGTGCTGTCAGAAGAGGGCCTTCTGGGTGAAGACCTCACCTGCCTTTCCCAGGTAAGAGGCGATCTGGACTCAGTTATCAGACTTTCAGAAACCACTCTATTCCTGGGCTCACAAAAGGCAGATGATGTTGTTACAGGCCACACAGCTTGAGTTCCACTGGAGGTTCTAGACCCGTGTGTGGTTGTTGGGCTTGTTCCACATGTGATCTGTGAGTCTGTTCCCCATGTAGTTTGTGCGGCCGACCCCCGTGTGGCCTGTGGGGCTGACCCCTGTGTGGCCTGGGGGGCTGCCCTCCCTGCAGCCTGAAGGCCCCGTGTGGCCTGTGGATTTGTATGTAGGGGACCCACCACTTGTGCAGGCTGCGTGTCTGCCGACCCTGTGGATAGTGACCCTGCTACTAGTATGGGCTGTGAGTCTGTGCCCCGTGTGGCCTGTGGACTGCTCCCCTGTGTGGCCTGTGGGCCTGCCTCAGACTCTTGGGCCCTAGCAGTGGCATGGCTGGGCTGTGACACCATAAGAACACAGTTAAGCCCACTTCCCTGAGCCGATCTTGTGTCAGCTGACTCGTTCCTGGGTCGGTTTTGGACAAACGCATTACCAACAGGAGGTAAGGAACTCCCACTCTCTGGGTGGGGGAGGGGGGATGTGGTTGGCTTTGTCCTGAGGCTTCGTGAGCGCCACGTACAGATGTGCAGAGCACAGGCCTCGCAGTTGGCTGTGTCGTGGGACCCTCGCAGAGGCACTTCCACAGTCACGGGTATCTCTGGAAACGTCCTGATGCCCTTGCTATAGCATCTCTCCAGTATATGCTGCACCAGATTGTGCAGAATCCTCATGGCGCTCTTGGAAGAGAACTCGGGCTTCTCATATTGGGACAGGTAACACTTTTTACACCTCTGACCAAAGAGTCGCATGAGCACCTTCCCCTGGGACATCGGTTGCACCCGGTACATGTGGCAGAGGACCTGCACTCTGGCAGAAGCCCATCTTCTCTGGCATGAGGAACACCGGAAGCTGCACACAGAAGGAAGAAACCAGTGTGTTTTCTTCTGGTTGTGGGCCTGAAGGAAAACGAGCCTGGCCTGTCAATTTGGAAAAGTTCCCAATCCTGTGATTTGGAATGTTCCAGTCATTGACAAACAGGAGTGAGAGGGATTGTGTTTCTGATAAAGCTTTTTTTCCCTGTAACCCACTGAGCTTCTACCCCTAAGTCATCGTCAAGTGTGCCTCTTTGCAAGGAAAACATCTCTGGATGCCTCAGCAGGTAAAGTTTCTGCCATGGGCCAGGGAAATTTGTTCCCGATAATAACCACAGCAAACTCTCATGAAGTAGCTACTGTGAGGCAGACGCTGTAATTGGTGCTTTGCAATGTTATTCCATTTTGTCTTTAAATCGACCCTACGCTGACAATAAAAAAGCAAAACTGAACCCCTTGCTGTTGAGTCGATTCCAACTCATAATGACCCTATAGGACAGAGTAGAACTGCCCCATAGGGTTTCCAAGGAGCGGCTGGTGGATTCAAACTACCGGACTTTTGGTTAGCAGTTGAGCTCTTAACCACTGTACCACCAGGACTTCATGCTGACAGTATAACCCTTGAATAGTTTTCCTTTTATGAATTGAGGCTTAGAGAAGGTCCCTGATGTTACTGAGCTCAATATCCAGATGAGGAAACTGAGTCATAAAGGTATTACAAACTTGCTCAAAGCCTAGGTGGTAGAGGCATCTTTCTAACCCAACCCTCCCCCACCCCCCCCAAAAAAACCAAACTCATTGCCGTTGAGTTGTTTCCAACTCATAGCAATCCTATAGGAGAAGGTAGAACTACCCCATAGGGTTTCCAAAGAGCAGCTCGTGGATTCAAACTGCCAACCTTCTGGTTAGTAGCCATAGCTCTTAACCACGGCACCACCAGCGCTCCAAAGCCATCTGAAACCAGCCTTGCTTGCCTACCTGCTCTACCACATCACCTGCAATGAACAATAGGGCTAGTTTTGCACCTGGAAAAACAGACTACGACCTGAAGCCGTAATGCTTGGCTGGAGACTCAAATTCATAGTTTGCCTCAGGGGACCTTCTCTAAGCCTCAATTCAGAAAAGGAGAACTATGCAAGGCTTATATTGTCAGCATCCAGTGAGAAATGAGAAAACACTTTGTAGACTACAATATGCTTTTCAAAAGTTGGTTGATACTTTTCTAGAAGTTTACTGGTGGGTTGCTTTTCTGATCTCAGAATGGCTATGAAATCAGTTCATCTGAACAGGAGAAGAAACTTCCTGTTTGTGGGAGTGTCAAAATGAGTAAGTCATCATGCACCCCTCAAAGAACTCTGGCTGGTGCAGAGACACTTACACAGTTCACTGAATTACAAAGCAGAACAAAATCACGGCTATGTGGGCTCTGGCAAGTAGCTAGAAAACTGTGCTCTGCAGAAGCCTAGGAGGCTTCATTTGAACAACAGGTGCTGCAGTTAAAATATATATTTAAACAAAAACAAAACCCCATTTCTGTTGAGTTGATCCCTACTGATAGGGACCCTACAGGACAGAGTAGAACTGCCCCATAGGGTTTCCAAGGCTGTAATCTTTACAGAAGCAGACTGCCACATCTTTCTCCCACGGAGC